CCTTCAGAAGGAAGAATAAGCATAGTCGTACAACGATCACAACTCCACCACTTTCCCAACACGACTGATACATTTCCTTAATTCGCGAACCGCTCTCTCCGACTCAAGCGTTGATTCCCTGAAATTTGAAGACCTGTCAAACCACAAATTAGCAAGAACGCTCTGATTGGTGCGACATCGAAAAATACTACAATCTGATTGGTTTGTGATACACCAAAAAATTGAGCCAATCACATTGCGTTGAGATACACCAAAAAAAGATGCGCCAATCAGATTGCTTAGAGATACACCAAATTGCGCTGATAAGATTACACTACACCACAAAACACCAATCTATACGCTAACATATAGTTATTTTTTTAAAAAAAAAAATAACTCAATAAAAAAAATAACTCAAAAAAGCCTGTTATGCGCCAATCAGATTGCTTAGAGATACACCAAATTGCGCTGATCAGATTACACTACACCACAATACACCAATCTATACGCTAACATATAGTTAATTTAAAAAAAAAAATAACTCAATAAAAAAAAACTCAAAAAAGCATGTGATGCGCCAATCAGATTGCTTAGAGATACACCAAATTGCGCTGATCAGATTACACCAAAATACGCTAATCTATACGCTAACACAGAGTTATTTTTATTTAAAAAAAAATAACTCCAAAAGACTCAGCGATACGACACTCCAAAACGTCTAATAAGTTATTTATTATTTAATTGCTTTGTGTGCATTTCTCATAAGGCGGGAAAAAGTGGCCGGTTTAGCAGGATTTTTGACAGCACAAAATAAATGTCCAAATACGCCTTAATTGCGCCCTACCTAGTGCAGTTAGATAACAAAGACGAAGTAGTTTATTTCCCTGCTATTCATGATGGAAAAAAGATGGAATTAAGAATTAGAACTTTGTTGTGGCTCTGTTAATTTCTTAACCTTATATTATAAATCATTAGTAGCGGAGCTCGCGGCGCGCGCAGCAAGAGCTCACACTTACCAAAAGTGGTAATCCCCTCTTAGTGCAACCTCATTCCCAGGTTCTCTCATCTTCCCGCCCCCCTGGAGCGGAAAGATGAGAGACCCTGGGAACGAGGTTGCTCCAAGTGTAGAGTCAGATCTTCACTCATCTTTGTTGTCCTAAGATCCCTAGAAATATAGAGGATATATTGAAATTAATATAAGTGAGATATCAGTGTATCAGTATGTTAGCTACTAATGTAGTCTTGCTGACTTTGATGTCCTGTTGTTTTTATGCAGCATGTTGTGGATTGATGATGTAATATTTATAGTCCACGGTTTTAGTGCTTATGGAGGTCCCCCGGTTATGATACAATTTTAAAGTAGAAAATTACAAAAACATCAGTTCAGCATTGAAATATCTGGAGTGCCAACTTAAATAAACACCATCAAGAGTTGTCGCTATCTTTGAGTCGACAGTGCTGAAAAGAAATTTTACCTTCGTACCTCATCAAACTGATCAGGTTCCCGGTTGTGAAATCAATAATTTTGGAAAACGTAGCATTTGGTGGTAGTTTGATACTTGGCCAACGAAGCACACTTTTCCTCATCACCTGAAAGCAAAATATTTGAAAGTTTATCATAATCTCATTTTCTCCTTCCTCGCGCGTCTCTTTGGTTTGCCTTCACCTCTAAAAATATCTCCTGGTCATCAGAACGCCATTATGAGGTTGCTACCTTGGCACCTCGCCGAACTCTTTTCTATTTTGATTTCGTTTTCACAATTTGACGTTGATTTCATTCCCTCTAGTAAGTGTTTACATATATGATTTTCATATATTCACATTGACTCATCACAGCACCGGTTTATTACGCACCAACATGATGACCAGCTCCCAGTTAGCTCAGTTGGCAGAGCACTGCACCGGTATCGCAGAGGTCATGAGCTCAACTCCCGTACAGGCCTGAATATTTTTCAGGCCTTATTTTCGCTACTGCTTAAGGAGTGTTCATTACTGCGAAGATCACTGTCATGTTCATTTCTTTAACCACAGTTCACACACACGTTTTCATCTATTCACAAACATTGTTTATATTCTCTTGGTATCATGGCTCAGCGGTTCGGCCGCTTTCCTTTGCTTTGTTGCCGGAGTGGTAGGACGTCCCCCCCTCAATAACTTGCTTCAAACCTTTAAACTCTGAGTCACGAATAATCGAGCGTCTTTCTCTGTTAAGCATCATTCGACGGCAGTAAGCATTACACGAATGCTATCACGCTCGTAATCTTTCCCGTTGTTACTACGAATCTCTCGCGTGAAACTCCTCGAGAATATTGATCAAGGCCTCCGTTTCATACTCTTATGAGCATTTTTGGAAGCTTAATACTTCCAGACTTTCAGCCAGACAATTGTTTCTGCTTCATTGTGTGTTTCTGTTCTTTTCATTAGCCCCAAGCCTTTGAATGACAGTAAAACGTTGTTACTTTCTCCTAACATTCCGCCATTTTATTTTGTTGTACTTACCTGTCAATCAATTATATTCAACTTCTGCACTCGATCTCAACTTTCTGCACTGTTTGGGATTAACTGCGTGTTCAATGGGCATGCTCGCGAGCATGCCAATAAGCATGCTGAAATTCTTGAATGTATATTATTAAGGTGCAACCAAAATTTTCGGTGCGGTCATATGATAAATCACTCTGTTGCCATCTTACCAGCGAGAGAATATGAACAGTTCATTTACTCTTGGTTACCAGTGACATGTTACTTAAGTGTTTGACATGTTCATTTGAATATTTTAATAATCATTCATGTGAGATGAATGGCTTTTCTGGTATCTTCAAACGTCTTGCATTAAGTTCTAAAAAAAAAAAAAAAGGGATGAAGACGCGTGCCAAAACAAGACTTAATGATCACAACATGCTTGCGTTAATATCTTTTATTTGAGATAGTAAATGGTGTCTCCCAACATGCCTAAAGGGTAGAATATTTCGTAGGAGTTCCATGTTACTCTATAAACGGATCAAAGGTACTGTACTCATATGCAAAACTAGGTCTCTCTAAGGTTTTGGTTGATAACTATTGCTTCACAAGCCACACGATCATAGGCAAAACATCTGTTTGTACACATTTTGCAGCGCTCCAAGCTTAAAGTTATTTTAAAGTCGCCATTTAACGACCGAAAATCAGGAAATGGTCGCTTGAAAAAATTTTTAGACGAAAATAGCTGGCAATCGTTTTTAAAAGCTCTGGCCTCATTTCAAGACTTACCACTCGCCCAAACGAGGAGAGAACGACAACTACAGAGCGTTAGTAATATTTCATAGAAATTTGTACCTCACCATAACTTAACGTTACATAATTAATGAATGAAAACATATAAAATGTACAGCTTGCCCTTTGACCGCCGCACATAGATCGCCAGTTTGGTGAATCTCACTGAAATTTTAGTCGCCAAATTTTTTCTGCCAGTCGCCAGGATGACCATAAAAGTCGCAGCTTGGAGCACTGAACTTAGATCGATCGATGAAGGATAGCAAATGTCATCATCTAGTGTTTGGACCAGAAACGTCCATATTTCTTAACTGGAAATCAGGCTCCATTTTGTTGATTGCTTAAAAGACGCTCTTCGGGTAAAACAGACTTTTTATCGCTTAGAATGCGAAAAAGAGACAGTTTTAACGATGGCCTAGACACTATGGACGGATATCTATCATTTTCTATCGGCCAGAGTTCAACATGTTAGACTTTTTTCCATTTTTGGTCCATCAGTGAACTTATTCTGTGTCCAGAACCAGTTGTTGCTCCAAACGGACGCATCACAGTGCTCTTCAAACATCGTTAAAGCGTGACCTTGCCTGATGAGAGGGGAAAGACCTATTTATCATTTCTTTGCAGCTATTAACATGAAACTCCACGCCAGTTAAAAAAATCAAGGTCATACAACAAGCAGGTACTGGGAAAACACAAACTTATCAGCTAATAATAAACGTCTTTATATAACACCTTATTCTCGTAAGCAACTGACAAGGGAACGAATAACGACTAAATGGAAGAACTACGAACCAAATCTAAGAGGTACTCACATCGAAATCTGATTCCCTTAAAAGAACACAACAAACAAACATACAAACGGACCAACAAACAAAAACACAAATCCACATAAGATAGACATCTTGTAACATATGATGCACGATCCTCGCAGTAGATAGCGCTATTTAAGCAATAGCGAAAATCAGACCTGAAAAAAATCAGGCCTGTACGGGATTCGAACCACTGACCTCTGCGATACTAGTGCAGCGCTCTACCAATTGAGCTAACAAGCCAACTGGGAGCAGGCCGTTAAGTTGATTCGTAATAAACCCGTGAAAGTGATAAATCAGATACAATGAAATATATGAAGTTCATATATTTTGAACTGCGGTATTAGATACATATG